CTCTCTCTCTCTCTCTCTCTCTCTCTCTCTCTCTCTCTCTCTCTGAGCACTGCTTTAGAAAATATGACGATCTTTCTCGTACATCGTGACCCCCGCTCGAAACGCACCCCTATTCTTGGTTGTGCTCTGTACGTGTGACGCGTCATGAAAATGTGATGATGATATATGCGATGGTACGGTCTTTCATGTGATGGTACGGTCGTTCATCCGCCATCGGCCACCTTTCCCGTGACCGTGGTCTGTCCCCAGGAGTACGTGTCACTCAAGGCGTACGATCTGGTGGCGTCGAGCAAGGCAGAGCTAGAGCGCACCCGAAGGTGACAGCGTGCGTGTTTTCTTCCTTCGTTATTCTCTTTGCTGCCTCGCGTACGCGGCGGGCGGCGTGTGTGTGGGGGGGGTCCTTGAAGGCACCGAACCCCTTATGTTCGAGGGGGCATTGGCTTTGTTGTGAGCTTGTGTATTGTTCACCCAAAGTACGAGGGTGTTTTTGTTTCGTATGCGTTTCAACTGATGATGATGCCAGGAGCTCCACGGTACGATTCCACGGTACGATTCTACGCCGCCGCCGCCGCTGCTAATGCCTTGCGTGCTATTTCTGTACATGTGCCGCGTCTTGATGCGCTGTCGTGTTGGTTCGCCCCTTTACGTTGACCGGGTCGCAAAAAATCAATCGAATCAATTCACCTGGCAGAGAGCTCGAGAAGACGCAGGAGCAGTTGCTGGCCACAACGGAAACTGCGGAACTGCAGCGCAGAGAGGATGCAAGGGCCCGTCGACTCGCCACCGCGCGGGAGGTGAGGAAAGTCAGCAACATAAGCCCCCTTTTTTCGGGAACCACACCCGCATAGCACCGTGGCGCACAACAGGTTGTGTGTTCGTCGTCCATTGTGTCGACACTTCAATGCACGAACGACGCTTACGCACGAATGTTCTCCGCGCGCAACGTTGTTTGATGAAACCACGGCAGTAGGCTTCGCGAGGGTATTAATCGTAGATATAGTAAGGGGTTGTATTTTTCTTGTTTGTTTATGGCAGGGGTTCGGGTGAGGGTTAGGGCTACAAAACCCCCCTCTCTATTTCACATGTAACGCTTCATTTTGTCGCGAAGGCGGTCCTGAACTCAATCGTTAGCGCCGGCCGTACTCGTCCCTCTCCCCCCGTCTGCAGGAGGGTCTGAAGGTAGACCTCGAGGCGTTGAGAGAGCGGGCCGAGGAGATGAGCGGTAGGGCGAGGGAGGCCCAGCGAGCGGCGGACGAGAACAGCGACAAGGCCCGCGGCTTCGACGAAGTCGAGGCCCTCCTGAGGACGACCCGCCTGGAGCTCGACGCCGCCAGGGCCCTGTCGAAGAGCCAGGCTGCGGCGCTGGTGGAAGTTGCCGAGTCGGAGAAGGCAGCGGCAAGGACGGCTCAGGTAGCTATTGTAGCTCTGTGTGTGTATGCCCTGCATTTTGTCTTATTGATATCCAAGTATATCGCAGAAAAGTATGTATCAAGTTTTGGTTAGCCTTTTTTCAATTCTGTTTGAACGTGTTTATCTTTTGCATATTGTTGTTGGTTGGTTTCGAAATCTATGGCCTTTTTTTTAGGTTGATGTCAATACCACTCCGCCGGCGTTCTGGCTCTTGTTCGTGTCCGTCTGTCCCTCTGTATTGATGGACTATTTTCGCGTGCGTCTGAAGCTGTTGCATCTTTCTCGTGGGTGGATAAAAAAATAACAATAACACGCATCGGCCTCGGCTTTCTCTGTTTTGGCTGTGTTCTATGGCTCGGCCGCGCGACACAGGACGCTTCCCAACGCAGCTTGATGCTGGAGATGGACAAGACCTACCTCCAACGAGAGGTGAGAGGACAAACAACGCTTGGCACTTTCTTTTGTCTCATCTCATTGACGTCTTGTTTTCTTTTATTGGTTGAAGAAAAGGTGTAGATCATGAAATTTGGCATGTCCAGGGCAATCACCTGTGTAGACTACTACTGTTGCCGCACATTATAGTATGTAGATGCGTTCGTAAACTTCGAGAACTACAAACATCATGCTACAGAGTTTGTATCAATGGTAGCATGCAGGTTGTGTGTACCGGGAAACCAACAGCAGAACTGTGCCTACTACCGTGCACCTCGACTCATCGCGCTCCCCTGCTTGTCATCCCCACGATCGCGCGAAAAATCAAAACAACGACACCGACATGAACGACATCAACAACGACACCACCGCCACCAACGGCACAAACAACCACCACCACAACACCAACAACAACAACGGCAACAACGACAACAACAACAACAACAACAACAACAACAACAACAACAACAACGGCAACAACGACAACGGCAACAACAACGACATTGACAACGGCAACGACGAACGGCAAACAACAAACCACAGCTCTCCGAGGCTCAGAACAAGGCCGATCGGCTAGGCCGAGAGTCCGAAGCGGTGAGCGAGCGCCTCCGGGACCTGGAGCGGTCCAAGGACTCGCTTGCGGCGGAACTGGTGTCGGTTCGGGAGCGCACGCGATCGGAGCACGAGGAGCGCCTGGAGGTGTGTAAATGTACCTGTTATACGCTTACGAGAGTGATAAAACACTTTGTGCTCGGACCCTCACAGCAACATGGATAAACCGTAGCAACACTCTCCGTGAGACGTACCATACGTGTGTAGCAAGGAACAATGATGTTTTGTAAGTGAGCGGGACACGGGTACCGTAGTGCGATCTTGACTGGTGCATGGTATACCTACCGCCAGCAGAGTCGTCAAATCCTGTCGGATTATTTCTCGAGAGTACATGTAGTATCGTTGATGTTTTACGTGCACGTTGCAAGAGGTGGTATTATGATGCCGCCTGGAACCCCCCCCTCAGCACCTATCTAGAGACGACGACGATAACCACAATCACAGCAGCAACAACCCACAACAAGAACAGCAACAGCAACAACAACAACAACAACAACAACAACAACAACAACAACAACAACAACAACAACAACAACAACAACAACAACAACAACAACGACGACGACGACGACGACGACGACGTTTGACAGGCGGAGGTTGGCCGCCTTCGAGAGCAGAGCGCCAAAGAGCTGGCGGACATCCGGGCTAGCGGGAGGGAGGTGTACGAGAGGGAGAACGAGACCCTCAGGGAGGCCAGGAAGGACGCGTTGCAGGTACACGGTACAAAAGTGGGTATATTTGTTGAGCTGATGATGTCTGTCGATGTTGTTGCTGTTGTTGTTGTTGTTGATGTGATGAATATGTTGTAGCCGCTTTTGGCACTTGTTACCCTTCTTCTCCCTCTCTCTACCCTGCGCTAAATATTCTGCTTGCCACCCCCCGTCATTGTTATCGTCATCGTGCGCGCGTTGGGAAACCCCGCCGGCTGCTGCTGCTGCTGCTGCTGGTGTTGCCGTGGCCAAGGACTTGTCTCGCGTGCGGAGCGAGCTTAGCGAGCTGCAAAGGGCCCACGAAGACCTCGTCATCACCATGGCTAAGGTGCGCCAATAGACGGTAGCAACGAAGGAGGGAGGGAGGGAAGGGATCACTTACATCGTTGTCGCGGTGTGTGTGCCTGTGTTCAGCGGAAAGCAAGCGGCAAAAAATCGGGCGGTGTGTCTGTCGCCTGCGCACCGAAAGCCGAGAATCGGATCAGGGATAACAATGCCGGCAACTAGACAGCGGCCACGTCGAGACCACCGGGCTGCTTCGTTGTTCATCTCTTCGCCGAGAAAAGAACAATTTCTTCTCCACTCTTTGTTCGAACGCTCTGGTAGAAACAATCGGCGCGTTCCGTCGCGACGCACAAGCTTATGGCTGGTCGGCCGTTCGCACGAACATGAGGATGGACACACGTACATATGTGTGGGAACATGCGAACCACATAACAACGCAACCACGGTCTTTGGACTAAGCCAAGAGCCCCCTTTTCCCTCCGTCCGTCCCTCCCGCCCTTGCTTCCTCCCTCCATTCCGACTAACCGGCGGCATACTGACACTACACGCTGCTCCTCCGCCGCAGTCCGACGCGGCACACGAGACGGCCGTGGGCGAGGTGCGGAGCGAGCTTCGGCTCAAGAGCTTCGAGCTCAGCCAGCTTGGGGTGGCGCACGCGGAGAAGTGCTCGTTGTTGCGACAGGTGTGTTTGTATGTCTGTCTCGATGTGTGTTTTGTGTGTTTGTGCGTTGGTTCGTTGGCCAATGGAAAGGGGGGTATGTGTGCGTCTCTATGACATGTGTGGTTTTGCTTGCAATAGATCGTACGAACGACACGGCAACATATCTCGAAGTATGATTTTCTCTCCGCCGCAGAAGTGGAAGCTCCTTCGTCACCACGCTGCGTGCACTTCTTTCGGCCCGTGCAAGCACCATACCGAATCATACTTTCGCCACAGCAGACATCGATCGGTGCAATTCCAGCGTCGCTCTCAGGGTTAGCTGTGTGCCATCGAACAGTGAAATATATCTCCAGTAATCGGAAGGCGTCCGCGTCAGTTGGACCAGTACGGACGTTGGAAGGTACTGAGCGGAGACCCAGCGATGACAGCCGGTGTTGTGGGGAATATTGTGGGCCACTGCTGTCTGAGGTGCTGTGTAAATGACGTCTGCGCTTGGGAGAGCAAGTTAATTACTCCGCGATTTTTTGCCGAAACGGTTTTCAGTGTGAAGCCAACAGCAACAACAACAACAACCACTTCTGTATTCCCACACAAACCACACGGCACCGGACGCAGGCGGGGCTAGAGGTGGACATGCTGAAGGAGCAAGTGGCGGTGCACCGCGCGGAGTTCGCCGAGCTGGAGGCGTCAACCACAAGAAAGGCGTCCGAGCTGCAGCTCCTTCTTGTCGGCGAACGAGACAAGGTGTGCGGCCATTGGTGTGTTGATGTGTCAACCGTTTCAGAATTAGTGTGTTTGGGTATGGGTAACAGTGGTAGGTTTCACTCTGCTTGCATGCTTGCTTGATTGCTTGCTTGTTTCGGTCGTGCCACCTTTTCTGGAGAGGATTATTGTGCTTGATTTCTTAGGGGGAACGAGACAAGAACCCGACCGACTGACAGTATGCAGATTTATTCACTTCTTCACAGTCCTCTGAACGTGTTGTCGTTCGCGGGTGCGCTACGCCCGCTACGTTCCCAGTGGTTCCACACGTTTGAAATGCTGTGTTCAGCCCCCCTTCACTACCTGATGGCGCGATGCCCCCTTGTGTTTTTTGGTAGGTGGCGGGATTTGAAGCCGGGTCATCCTCCACCACCGTAGTGAGATATCTCATCGTCGACGCAAGCAAAGTGAAACGACGAATCGTCGTCCTGGACAGATGTTCAGCAGCACCTCCACACCAGGACAAGCAGTGCACCAAATGCGTGCCCCCCCCGCCCCCCCCCCTCCCCCGTACGATGAAAAACCAGGTCCGAGCTTTTGAAGACCTTGAGCTCGAAGTAGACGGTGCCGTCATGCGAACTGGTAGAGAAATGCTCCTGGAAGAAGATGGCGAAGACGGCGCCGGAAAGGAACACGGACAAGAGGATGGCGAACACCGCTCAAGCAATCGGTCCCCGCAACAAGCAGCATCACCGCTCCAGTCCGCTTCCGGTGGGCTGGCGGCGTTGCCGGGGGGCTCCGGCGTGTCTGCCGGGGGGGGAGCGGCGATCCCGATGGCCCCGCACCGGCGGCTGCGCCAGGCCGTGCTGCTCGCGCACAAGCTGCTGAGGAAGGAGAGGGAGCTGGAGGTGGCGAAGAGGGAGCTGGCCGAACTCCAGTCGAGGTGTGTGGTGGAATGGGAGATGGTGGAAGCAAGGGTGGGGGGGGATCTTACTTGCTTGTCCTTCTGCGGGGCCCCTTTTGTGATGTCGAAAGGATACCCCACACCAAACCTCGGCACCCCCCCCGCCTCGTCGCGGCCATGATTTCCGTCCGCAGCACGCGGTTCCCACTTTTGTTGTCCACCCGACCCTCGGCGGGAAATTGGCGTGTTTCCTACTGCCCTCACGATGTAGACCTGGTTATACGAATGCATAGCTTCCGTTGATGCATACACGCGTCTACTACGGTATATCCTCCCCTGGGAAGAACACGATTTTCGCGGCATTCTTTCAGAAAAAGAAGGTCGGAAACCTGGGTGGCAAGTCGCCCCCCCCCCCCCCCCCCCCCCCCCCCCCCCCCCCCCCCCCCCCCCCCCCCCCCCCCCCCCCCCCCCCCCCCCCCCCCCCCCCCCCCCCCCCCCCCCNCACCCGCCCCGCCACCCCAATTTTCAATCCTTCCCTCCAATATAATAATGCATCATTTGACGCCGCACATAACAAACGAAGGGTGGCGTCCTGGGAAAGTCGAGCGGTGAGGGCGGAGGGTTTATTGGAGAGCGTCGAGCAGCCGACTAAGTACATGATCGACTCCATTCGAGAGAAGGATGGAGAGATCGAGGGCCTGAGGACGGCCCAGCAAAGGCTGGTGGCCAAAACGGAGGCGCTAGAGCGGGCGTGCAGGTAACGGCTTGATCTTCTCCCTCAACCACCCTTGGCTATTTCGCCTTTTTTGTGTTGGAGTGTGAGTTGAGTGCGAGAGGGGGGCGGAGGGGGGGGGGGGG